TTTTTTTTTTTTTTTTTTTTTTTTTAGACGAGGTCTCACTATGTTGCCCAGGCTGGTCTTGAGCTCCTGCGCTCAAGCAATCCTTCTCCCTTGGCCTCCCAAAGTGCTGGAATTACAGGTGTGAGCCACTGTGCCTGGCCTATTTAACATTTTTTTGGTATCAGTTTTAATGGCAAACTGTACAGCAGTCCAGATTTTAGTTACTATAAATGATGTCAAAGTAAACATTCTCCAACACTGATTTATTTCTTTTCTTTATTTTCTCAGGATAGAGGCCTCTGATAGAGGCTCAGGGTGAGGTCCTGCTGGTTCCTCTGGAGGGGCACCGCTTCATACTAGCAATGGGGGATGCCTCACTTACCTTAAAGAGACCGTAGACCATTTCTTTGAATTTCTGTACAGTCGTTCCCCTTGTTGGCTTATCAAATAACACTATTTCTTTCCTCGGCTCCAATTCGGTTCCAAAATCGAGATGAAGTGCTTGTTCCATCTGACACTTCACAACACCGGGTAGATTATCCCAGATCCCTAAATACATCTACGAGAAAAAAGGATGGCAGAGTTTGCGTCATGCTGAGCAGACCACTTGGAAAAACACACCGCCTTATCTCTGGCCTACTCCTCCCCTACAAAATAACACAACACACACACAAGCAGCAAAACACTGAGAGTGAGCTGTGGCTTTACTTTTGAACTACAAACTTGAGATCATACTCCAAAGATTGTTTTCTTCTTCTTTTTTCTTTTTTTTTTTTTGAGGTGGAGTCTCACTCTGTTGCCCAGACTGGATTACAGTGGCCGCTCCTGGCCACGGCAGCCTCGACCTGCCGGGCTCCGGCGATCCTTCCGCCTCAGCCTTCCGAGTAGCCGGAATTACAGACACGCACTGCCACACCCGGCTGATTTTTGATTTATTGTAGAGATGAGGTCTCGCTGCCCAGGCGGGTCTCGAACCCACGGGCTCAGGCAATCCACTCACCTCAGCCTCCCAAAGGCGCGGGATTACAGGATGAGCCACTGAGCCTGGCTGATTGTTTTCTTCTTAAACTAATTTTTAAAAATTACCCAAGTAACACATGGCTAAAAATAATTTTCAAAAAGTCAAATTAAGGCCAGGCATGGTGGCTCAGCCTGTAATACCAGCACTTTGGGAGGCCAAGGCGAGTGGACTGCCTGAGCCCGCGGGTTCGAGACCCGCCTAGGCAATTTGGCGAGACCTCATCTCTACAATAAAACAAAAAATTAGCCGGGCGTGGTAGCGCACGCCTGTAGCTCCAGCTACTCGGAAGGCTGAGGCGGAAGGATCGCTGGAGCACAGCAGGTGGAGGCTGTGGTGGCTGGGAGCGTGTCACTGCACTCCAGCCTGGGCGACAGAGTGAGACTCCAACTTAAAAACAAAGAAGTCAGATTAAAAAGACGTCAAACCAAGTTCCTCCACATTCCATTTCCCTCATCCCACCTCCCCAGAATTAATACAAGCATCTAGTTACTAATCGAACTAACATTAGATAGTGTTTCCTATGTCCGATGGTCTGTTTTTTTTAATTTACTTATTCATTTTGAGTTAGAGTCTCACCCTGTTGCCCAGGCTGGAGGGCAGTGGCATGCTCACAGCCAGTGCAGCCTCGACCTGCTGGGCTCAGGTGATCCTTCCGCTTCAGTCTTCTAAGTAGCTGGAACCACAGGCATGTGCCACCATGCCCAGCTAATTTTTTGATTTATTATAGAGATGAAGTCTCGCCAAGTTGTCTAGGCTGGTCTCGAACCCATGGGCTCAGGCATTCCTCTCACCTCGGCCTCCCAAAGTACTAGGATTACAGGTGTGAGCCACCGTGTCCGGTTAGAGATCTTCTTAAACATGATTAGTATCGCCGACTTAAAAGTTAATTTAAATTTCTACAAGAGTAGTGCATATTTACATTGAGAAATTTAGAAATATTAAGATAAACATTAAAAGGCAATTTTCTACTGCCCAAGGATGTTTCGTTGTATTTTCTTTCAGCCCAAAGTATCCCATCATTTTCTTTTTATTTTTTTTTGAGTCCAGAGTCTCACTCCGTCACCCGGGCTGGAGGGCAGTGGCATGCTCACAGACACCAGCAGCCTCAGCCTGCTGGATTCGGGCAATCCTTCCGCCTCAGCCTCCCATGTAGCTGGAACCACAGGCATACGCCAACACGCCTGGCTAATTTTTTGATTTATTGTAGAGACGCGGTCTCACCATATTACCCAGGCTTGTCTCAAACCCATGGGCTCAGGCGATCCTCTCACCTCCACCTCCCAAAGTGCTGGGATTATTGGCGTGAGCCACTGCACCTGGTCTCTTTTTATTTATTTGCTACAAAGCAAGGTAGAGCTTTTTTCGTTATGTTTTCCAGTTGTTTGGAGTTCTTTGTAGCTGAATCCATCCTGTCCTTTGCCCATGCCTATAGTTTAATTCTTCCTCCAGATAGGAGATCAAATGTTCTATCCGAGAGGTCTTTCCCGAGCACATCCTCAAAGCCTGCCTCTCTTGTCCCTGACTCTGCATCCTCTGTCACTCACCCTGAGTATCTCCTACACAGAACACATGCTATTCTATAGTTATTTTATTTATCTGTCAACTGTTTGTCCTTCTTGTCCCTCTGAGATAATGGAAGATCCGGAAGGGAAGCAATCTTGTCTGTCGTCATCACCATGTATTCCTTGCAACTAAAGCAGTATCTGTCCAAGATCAAGGTGCTGGCAGGAAAAATAAAATGAAGCAAAACCCAGTGTCTGGATTATACTGGGACTAGGGATTAATCAATACCTACTGAATGAATGCATACAAAATTAAAGTATATAATGTCCCAAAGCTCTGGCTCAATAGTTCTTTCAATAATGCCTTTAACTTAAGGCAGAATTAGAGTCCACTGTAATTCTGGAATATTCCTTCATCATGTACATACCTGATTGTTGGGCTTGGTAGATAAGCATTTTCCAAAGTAAAGAGTTTCTGTAACACAAAGGCTGTTACATGCAGGCCCGTCAATAACACCAGTCTTGTACTTGTCACACTGAAAACCAGAAACGAAAAGGGAGTGGGTAGAAAAAACGTTACTAAGAAGAAACCTAGGAAACACCATAAAGAGATATCTACATCCTTTTAAAAATTCCGTCATGAAAAGAATGCAGTTTTTGGGTTTAGATGACTGGATGTGAATTCACGCTCTGCTACTTACTACCTATATGATGGAGCTTATTGCTACTGAGGTGTGCATAGAGTTTTGACTCTCTCTAAGAACAGAGGCATTCTATTTTATTACACGATTCTGGCTTTAAACTACATTAAAAAGTTAAAATAACAAAATATTTTAAAATAATGAAATACAGTTCCCTCTGTCATCATCCTTGAAATCACCCCAAAATCAGAATTATTTTTGTTGTTGTTGAGTCAGGGTCTCGCTCTGTTGGCCAGGTTGGAGTGCAGTGTACCACTGAGACATAATTATGCTGAGACTTAATACCCGCTGTGGTATCAGTTCTCAAAGTTGGCAGAGCACCAAGTAGGTATATCTGAGGAGGAGAACCATCATCCTGGTTTGCAATCAAGATTTAAGGACATGAGCTATGGGAACTTCCCAGAACTCTGTTTGGCCTCATGAAGCAGTGTGTCAAAGCAGGGCTGAAGAATAAAACCCTTAAAAATGTTACCTTTGTCGGAGGCAGTCTGATGATGAAATGTGATTGGGAGAGACTGTGTTATGAGCAGCCCTGCCATTACTGGGGAAATAAATAAACAGGCAAAACCAATTTGTGTGAATGTTTCTGTCTCACTAATTTTCTCTTTTACACACACACGGTCACAAGCAGTTTCACAACCAGCTCAGTCCACCACCCAGTTGCTTCCTGCCAACGGCTGGCTCAGGATAATCAAAAGAAAACAAGCAAAATATCTACAAAGCAAATCCACAAGAATCAGGAGTAAAGGAATAGGGAAGAAATTTTCCAGAGGCAGACAAAATATATTGCTATGAATTCAAAGGACTTACGGAAGCAGTTTAAAATAGGACTTCTAAGTGGAAGGAACGATGGGGCTACAGAAGGAAGTTTAAAATAAGCTAAAAGATCAGAAAGGAAGAGAAAGAAAAAAATCCTAGAAATAAAAGCCACATTGGCCGGGTGGGGAGAGGGAACCAAGGATAAAACACAGTAAGACTTATGAGGGCTAAGTGCGGAAAAGTAAGCACAAGGAGATGGAAATTTAAAAAGAACCAAAATGAATTTAAGATAAATGTACAGAACTGGGAGACAGAGGGTACCCGGCTGGTTCATGTGAGAAAGAATAGCAATGAGTGGAAGAGAACAAATGCAGTGGCATTCGAGGAGATTTCATGTAAATGAAAGAAAACTTTAATCTACAGACTGAAAGGTTGAAAGGACACACAACATCCCAAGGAAAACTGATGTGAATGACCCCTGTGACAGAGCCCACTGAAGTTGACTTCAAAAAGGATAATCCTGGCCGGGCGCGGTGGCTCATGCCTATAATTCCAGCACTTTGGGTGCCAGAGGTGGGAGGATTGCTTGAGCCCAGGAGTTTGAGACCAGCCTAGGCTGGTCTCTACAAAATAATAATAATAATAATTAATAAATAAAGACATATAATTATTTTGTAGAGAGACCTCCTCTCTACAAAATAATAATAATAATAATTAATAAATAAAGACATAAATAATAATAATAGGCAGTTGCTTTGTAAAGCCATGGTTTGACCATGTGACACCCTGAGCCATGGTCGCCATGTTTCCTAGCCTGAGCCCCTCCCCTACCTTGGGGAGATAAATCTACTCTCTCTCTCTCTCCCTCTCTATTGCACTTTTATTTTTATTCTTTTTTGAGCTGGAGTCTAACTCTGTCACCCAGGCTGGAGTGTAGTGGCATGCTCATGGCCACTGCAGCCTCGACCTGCTGGGCTCTGGCGAGCCTTCCACCTCAGGCTTCCAAGTCGCTGGTACTACAGGCACGCACCAACCCAGCTAATTTTTTGATTTATTGTAGAGACAGTGTCTCGCCAAGTTGCCCAGGCTGGTCTCGAATCTGAGGGCTCAGGCAATCCACTCGCCTTGCCCTCCCAAAGTGCTGGGATTACAGGCTGAGCCACCAAGCCCAGTCTCTAATATACTTTATTTTTTATTATTTTTTTTATTTTTTGACTTGGGAGTCTCACTCTGTCACTCAGGCTGGAGGGCAGTGGCATGCTCCTGGCCACCACAGCCTCAACCTGCTGGACTCAGGTGATCCTTCCTCCTCAGCTTTCCAAGTAGCTGGAACTACAGGCACATGCCACCATGCCCAGCTAATTTTTT